CGCGCACACATACAATGCCGTGGAAAAATATTTGCCCCCTTCTTGATTTCTGTGTTCTTTGCATATTTATCACACACAAGGATTTCAGGTCATCAAACCAATTTTATATGTATGTATATATATCCATGAATACATCAAGGAGAAGGCTCCAACAGATGATGTACTCAGAGAATGCCTCAGACAATGGGGAACAGAGGATGAGGTGCTGGAAGAGGGACCATCATGGGATGTACCACCGGACCATAACTGAAGTGGCTGATCTCAAGAAGTCCTATCAGTGGCTAGAGAGGGCTGGCCTGAAGGACACCACAGAGGCGCTCATCCTGGCTGCTTAGGAGCAGGCCCTGAGCACCAGAGCCATTGAGGCCCAGATATACCACACAACAATAAAACAATAAATTAATAACAAAGACAGTAGAAAGCACAAAAACAGTAAAGCTAAAAATCAAGTCTCATGCTGAGTAAAAAGCCAAAGAATAAAGCCAAAGAATATATATATATATATATATATTCATTAAACATTGCTGCTTCATTAAACATTTCTTGGGAGCGCTGGTGAGCCCTTTCTTTTAAACCGCACAATCTTCCTTTTGTGTGCGCACGTGCACCCTTTGTGGCTTCCATTCTCGCCGAAATTTCGAAATCTCCGAGATATGGCGAGGCCATGAGAATGCGAGGCGCGGGTGTTACTGTTGTGGCGATGCCACTCAAGCTAAGCGAGCCTCAGCAGTAGATAGTCCGCTGCTCTCTGCTGTGCGTGCTTCAGCGTGAACATGTACGCAAGCGCGTCTTTTGATTTCACCCAATCAGCGCTGACGCAACCGACAACAGCTAAGCTAAGTTAGCTGAGACAACACTCGAAGTCGGACGGACACGTTTTTCTGCCAATCTGTGTGTTTCCCTTTTTTGTCCAAATATATTTTTTACGATGTATGTCCACGGTGTCTTTTATTCATTCCACTGGGGTTTAGCAAGTGTGTTTATAAAGAGACGAAAATCTCTTTACTGTTACTAGTGTTAGAATCAAAATCTGCTTATTAACCCCACTGGGTCATTTGGCTTGAAACAGCCCAATGCAACCTTACTGTAGGTCTCCTTACCTGTAACAGTAATTTTTATGTAATGATATGAACAATTAAGCAGTATGTTGAGTCATATGGTTGTTCCAAATCATCCTACCTTGTTGCCAGCAATGGGTGTGTGACCAAAGGCAACGCCCACGATTCTCTACCCCATGGCACAGACTCAAAGAGCAGAATGTCTTTTTCTGTAAGTGCCATGACAACGGGTCTGTGCTGCTGCCGTCCACCTTCCAGCTGGACCTAAGAATCATTAAACAAGATCAGCACGGTTTTGGAGATTTAATATTGCTTTACACCAGCCTTTTCCAAACCAAAACGAGTCCCGGGTCAGTATATATTGTGTTGCCGAAAGAGAGCACAGTAAATACCAGAAGCAGTAATATTTTTCATGATAAAGGGCTTTTTGATTTGATTTCTTGTTTGTGATGTTCTATTATCATCAATGTACAACATACAAAGTGTGTGAAAAAGTAAAAAGTGTGGGCCAACCTTTTTTGACCAAAGCTCTATTTTTCGATCAACCAGCCTCCCGCAATCGACCCGTGACCGCACACGCACTTACACACACATGCCATAATGAGCAACAGCCATAATGGCGGCTAAGATGAACGAGGCACGGGACGCACTTTTGCAGCGTGTTAACTTTCGTAGCTGACGTGTACCGTTTTAAAATGCTTCTCTCGGTCCTTCAGATTGCCATTCTTTGCCAGTTGCCTCCGTGAATTGGACATGAAACGCCGTTTCTTCTTACAACCGCCACCTGCCTGGCATCCCGCTCTACTAATGGAAACGTGTCGCAGGCTATGACGCAAATCTTCGTTGGCAGAAATGTTGAAATGTAATATTTATTCGCCATATTTTTACAGCATTGGAAAATGTTAAGAATGTTTGTCCTCCTACAGCACAGGTGTCAAAGTCCGGTCCTCGAGGATCACGATCAGGCTCCGATAGAGCTTGCTGATGAGCTGATCATTTGGATCAGGTGTGTTGCAGCAGGGAGGGATGGAAAACATGCAGAACACCGGCCCTCGAGGACCGGGCTTTGACACCTGTGTCCTACAGAAACCAGATTCAAAATATATATATATTTTCACTCCCCCATCTTTTTCCATTTTCAAACATTTTAAAAAGCTCCAGGGAGCCACTAGGCGGCGCTAAAGAGCCACATTCAGTTCCAGAGCCGCATGCGGCTCCGGAGCCACGTGTTGCCGAACCCCACTGAAGCCAACAAAAATTGGCAGCCACTTATAGCACCCAGAGACATACAAAAAAGTCCAATGCAGCCGTATTCTAAACTGAACAGGAAGTGAGCTATGAATTTTTGAAAGTCAAATTTGGCCCATTTTGGCACATTTACATGGTTCATACTTTTGCACCCTTGTCCTAAGATTCATCTGATTGACTTCAAACTTTGGCGATACCATCTTAAGACCTGAGAAAACAACAGGGCAAAAAGATCTTAAGTTTTTGAAATACAGTACAACATGACACGGACGGGGCATCAAAATGCGGAAAAGAGGAAATCCTTCATAAGTCTCGTGTACATGCTCCAAAATCACAAACTTAACACGCATACAGTCATGGCTTGAAGACATCTATATGATAATATTCTGTTATACATATAGGGCCACTCTGATTTTTTTTATTCAGTTTTTTTATGTACTGCACAGAGCCCGTTGAATGAATCCAACTGAAAATTTGTCAGAAATGCCTCATGAGATTGATCTTGCACAACACTGAAGATTGTTACTTTTCGGTGAAAGGCATGGCTAATACGGTGCCGCAAAGTCTGATAATTCACCGTGACAAACATTGCTGTAACACGCCGTTTTTCCTCGCCCGATGTATTTCATATTTGCTCGGAAGTGTCTCCATGATGTTAAAACAGGAATTTTGTGAGTTTTAGCTTAATGCTGTTGTACTGGCAACGTCAATTTAAATAGTCTAAAAATTGCCAAAACACATGAAACTTTGCACACATATTAGGCCTGGCAAAACCACCACCAGTTTTATCGGGATTTTTATTTAAAAATTTCCCACAAGCACTTCCTAGAAATTTGAAGCAATGGGTTATACGTTTCACCTCAATCTACGAAAATTTGGTGGTAAAATAACAGGCCAGGCGACATGGTAGCCAACTGGTTAGCACGTACGCCTCACGGCGGAGAGGTCATAGGTTTGAATCCGGCTCCGGCTTTCCTGTGTGGAGTTTGCATGTTCTCCACACGCCTGCATGGGTTTTCTCCAGGTACTCCGGTTTCCTAAAATATTCAAAAAACATGCACGGTAGGTTAATTGAATTCTCTAAATTGTCCTTCGGTGTGAGTGTGAATGATTGTCTATGTGTAGCCTGTAATTGGCTGGAAGCCACTTCAGTGTGTACCCTGCCTACTGCCGGAAAACAGCTGATATAGGCTCCAGCACGCCCGCGATCCTTGTGACGATAAGCAGATTGGATAACGGATGGATGTAACAGGCAAAGTCCTTCAAAAGAAGTCTCTGTGAGCCATGTAGTCAGTGTAACAAGAAGTCTGCCATTTTGAATTTACTTAAAAAACTTGACCCACATGATCATATATTCTCAGGATTTCTCACATTTGATGATAGTCCCGCTATGAAGACATCTACAGGGTCAGGCAAAATGATCTGACACATTTGTAGCTTAAATAAAAGGCAAATAAAGTAAAGAAACAAAAGTGTTTTTATTTTCGAAAAGTACATATACAGTGAAACTCCTCTACAACGAAACCTACATGGGCGAAAGTACCCTCTAGTATGAAAAAAATATTCATGCATTAACACCATTCCCACTTTCCTGCCCCCCATACAACGAAAAAAAACCCTGTGTCGTGATACGAAATCTTTTTCTCTGCTCTTGCCTCGCGACGAGATTCACTACAACGAAGTCTAATCCAGGGGCCCCCAACCTTTTTTGCCCCACGGACCGGTTTATGTCAGACAATATTTTCAGGGACCGGCATTTAAGGTGTGGTGGAAATAATACAAGAAATTAATATGGTATGAGCTGCATGAAAACTGTGGTGTTTTCGAAATATAATAATAAACACAAGGAGTGTCTAATCTGGCCGCAACACTCCGATCGCTATGGCAATGTTTAATGCCTTCAAAATACGATACAACGCAAATTCAAAGTGCATGAAAATGACGACTCACCACAGCACCGAGCTTGATTTTCTGCAACCAGACG